ACCACCTCGTGTTCTAAGAACAAAGCTTTCATTGTTCCTTTAGACCAATAATCCATAGCATAGGCCAGAAGTTTCATTGATATAGGATTTACTCTAAGGAAGTTTCCAACAAATACTACCTGCAGACACCAGAGTCAATATTACCATTAAGAAATAAGAATAATAAATATATTAATTGCCTGTCTCTTTTACCCTCTCAATTTTTTCATTGACAGCGCACATACGCGCGATAGAACCAATATTGTTTGTAATGGTAACGAGTGTGGCACGTGCAAGATCTTCTTTACTAACAGCATTTCGCCGATCTTTAGAATTCATTTGTCCAAAACTGTGCATACATTCAAAACAACATGTATTAAATAAAAATTAATTATTAAAAATACCAAAATATATTTATTCAGCCTTTGTAAATAGTACCTGCTTGCAACAAGATCTCCAGGAAGACCAAAGGGTCCATAATCCCCACCATAAATATCCTTAACCAGTTTGTCCACTCTAGTATTATCACCCCCAGTTGCTAGTTCTATTGCCTCTTCAAAAGTATTACATCCAGTTAGTAAACAACATAATCCTAAAAATGTACCACCACCTAGACTAAATATGAAACAAATATATTAGCATTAGTTTCTTAATTCAATATTAGGTATGTATTGCAAAAGGAACACACCTGGTCCCAGATATTCTTTTATAATTTGCTGGTCCATAAACTGCTAATATGCTCACTCCTGACCCTATATTTACAAGCTGCAAAAAGTACTTATGAAATGATACATATACAAATATACATAAAAAATCTTGTAAATTAAACATACCACAAATGGATAGGGTTCAGAAAAGTCATAAGGAACCTTCTGACATTTACTATCATCCGTAGGATGAGACCAGTAATAACATTCACGTGGATTTGTTGTTTCTATATAAAGCATACCACGTATTAAACTATCCAGTTCATCAAATTTGGCTAAATTCATATTTACTTCCTACAAAAAGATTTACATAATTAATTCCATTTGCATAACATTCTAATGTATTGTAATACAATTAGATGTATATCTTACTTGTTTAAAATTCTTTTCAAACTTGTATGCTCCACCACCAGTAGCACAAACTGTGGTTACAAGATTTGCCATACCTTTAGACCTTGCTAATGCTAAAAAGTTTCCCATTTCACTTGTGGGAAATCTAATAAAATGTAATGTACCACGTCTACCTCTGATACAAACATTATCCATCTATAATATGAATAATATGCATTTGTTATAACATCAGGACTAAAATATTAAAGAAACACTTGAAAAAACATACTTGTAAATGTGTGTCTCTATGACCTGTTTTCCCATATGCTGAATTTTTAGTTAAATACCGCCTAATATTCTTTAAGGTCTCTACTTCAGCATCTGCTTCATCCCTTGTGATATCTTTAGGTTCAAAGTACACTAATTTGGATAATGTACCTCCAATATCCATACCAAACCATGGCATTGCTAATAAAGCAAAAGACATCATTATTCCACGTAGCATTAGCCTGCTGATGTATAAATATTAGGAATATTTAAATGGTGGATAATCAAATAAAATGCAACTATTATAAATCAACTTGCTATGTATCAAGCACGCAATGCATGTAAAAAGGAACAAGCTATAAGTAAACTAAACTTCCAGAAAATTACTAGTCATACATCGCTTAACGACGGAAATACGCTTTAATAAATGAGTCGTTAGACGATTTCGTCATTGTGCAAACGTTATGCAGAATTCTTGTACAAATCTGAATAATGTAGCCTATTGCTCCTAGGCTACAAACTTAGTAGTAGGCAATTGTAACACAATGGTAAATATTTGTGTACCTGAACATATCTAAATATAAAAAAGGTACAGTACAAATACAGTATTAAAGATGAAAATTTTCCGTCGTACATATACGCGGTCCGTCGTTAACCGAAACGTCGTTATGCGATGTATAACTATATTACAATGAACACAAATAAAAAATACTCATTGCAACCAGGCAAGCTTTAAAATATAAAAATTTCACACTGTAAAACAATAGGATCATAAATGCTATATAAGAGGATCACTTTCCAACTTCAGATTATTATTTACACTGTTTTCTTGTAATTAATTAATTTATTTACAATATTCATTGAATTATTGTTGAAGTGATACTCATATATAAAAAGTAATAATAGTAATAATAAAAAATAAAAGTGGCTACTCTAAGCACACATACAGTTCAATGACTCACAAGGTGATGAATGGTTTTTGGACTCCTTAGGAGTCTCAGTACCACTGTAACCATTAGATGCCATAGCTTTTGTTGTAATATGATTTTTATAACTCTGAGGACTCATTGCTGATCTTCGAGTCATTTACAATTCTGTCTAATATAATATACAATTCCTTGACTGAAAATAAGAGAAAATTTCACATTAAAAATATAAAACATCAAAATAAAAGCTTATAAAAATATTATATACAATTTTTAAAACAACTCATGTACAATTCGTAATTAGAATCTCAATTTATCATCGCGTATCAAAGGTTACTGTTTAATACCGCATACGATGAAACTGAAACGTGAATAAATTAAACTTACAAACAGAATTTTTTGCTTTTAATGATGACGTTCAAAAGTCCACATTCGTAGAAAGTGCTGAGGTATTTCGAAAGATTTGAATTTAATCTTAGGTAGCCCGTGACATTATTTCCCTACTGTTATAAAAAATGAAATTGCCCTTTTATGATTTAATCACTATGTATATACATCCTTGAACAATTAACAAAAAAAAACTACTTTAAATTCAGTACTTAAAAACGTGATTACGTCAAAGAATAAACTGACATGTATGATATAAGTGCAATTAAATCAATATTTGCGAATAATATAAAGTAAACTAGTATTATAAGTAATTATCGTTAATATTACTTGCAAAGTAACGTCATCGGTGTTCTTGGCGAACTTAAACGTCGACTCATAGAAGCAACGGCATATATAAGTATGTCCACGAAACTAGTGTAATCATGTAAATGAGGCGAAGTTTTACTAAATTTCAGACAGAATCAAGTAACAAAAAAAGCAGAATGATACTGACACTAAATTGATATTGTCTATTGGCTAATCAAAACACGAGAGGGAATAAAATACAGACACAATCTCCACGTTAGCCAACGATAGGAGTGAAGCGGTAGAAAATGTAATAACTGTATCGTGTACGGTATTATGGCAAGAAGTAGACGTAAGAATCTATCCTTACCTGGAGACGTCATTTCAAGTTATGATTAAATTCTTAGAATGAAAATACTAGGAACTGACGTAGTTTAATAATTATCAAATTTCACGATAAAAAGATCACCTGATTATTTTATTATTAAATAAAAATTTCATTTTCTCGGTAAATAGGTTGTACTGTATAAATACTGATTCATAACTTTTCGTTGTAGTGCTAATTTAATATCGTTTACTTTATGAGATATTTCGTTGAATTTACAAAAATTCATAAAACTTGCATCACTATCACTGCTCACATAGGTTTAGTAACATCGCGTGATAACAGCTGGTTAGTACTATCTCGGAAACATGTCTTATAAAGATCCACTGATCCGATACTCCTTCCTTTAACCCGTATTTGCCTTTCAAATTCCCGGGACAAAGCAGTACCGCAATCGTGAAACCATAAAAATGTTAGTTTATGTTAATTTTTCTTGTACCCACGTGTAACATTAGATTATTGACGTCATAAATCCATGTTACCAGAATTCGGATTAAGAGTATCGTATAAGCAAGTGAATTAAAGTGATATTAACTACTGCAAATGAACTAAAATACTTCGATAATATAGAATTTAGGTTTGTTACTGTATCCATAACTGATCCAGAATCTTATATCACAAACTTCTGAATAAGATAAGCCATGTCCACTAGCATTTATATATATACATATACTTATACATATTTTGCAATCGCATGATCACGTGCGTCACGCTGATTAAAGATGTAAACAAAATCATGGCTATTTTTATTTTACGTAATTATGAGCTAGTAGCTAACAATTTGATAATTTTTTATTACTCTTAATAAGTGACAAAATTATTAGATGTTAGATTTGAAATAATATTGATGTTGTAACACAAAGAGCACCGCTCATTTCTGTATAACTCATTAATCAGCTAATGACTTTTTTATCAACTGATGACAATTTAATACTGTTCTTAGAACTACTGAATAAATAACAGTATGACATGTTAGGTACTTTTATTGAGATTTTGTATTACATATTCTTATTTGTGTCTAATATTTAACTGCATTGGGCACGAGCCATCATAGAGATTTTCTGTGCCTTCTGTACTATGTCTGGACAATGTCTACGGCGTACAAGTTTACAATCTTGAAAGAAACCTTCATTTCTAGGAAAACCATGTGATCCATCTGCATATGTAACTAATCCTAGAGATTATTAAAATAGCAGTTTATTAATGTAATGTGAAAGATTTGCTATTTTCAACACCTTACATACCTAGACCCCATACACGGCCACCACGAAATTCTCCTTCGAATTTCATTCCATCTGACCTCCAAAATACACCATGACCATGAAACCAGCCTTGCATAAATTCACCTTCATATCTGATGCATGAGAAACATTAAAGGATTGATAATCATAGAAAGTAAAATTGTTATAACTTCAAGATATTTACTTTGCTCCATCTGGGAACACTATAACTCCCAAGCCAGAACACAACCCATTTTGAAAACCACCATCATAACGTGTTCCATCAGGGAGGAGCAAAGAACCAGCACCATGTTTCAAACCCTTTGCATTCCAGTCCCCAACATACTTTGTACCATCTTCATATTTGTATGCACCATTTTTTACTACACCTATAAGTCAATATTGATGAAACACATAGTATTCACACAACTTTCAAATTCATAAGATGTAATTGAGAAAAAAAGAAATTACTGCAAGTTAAGTCTTACCATCACCCATGCTTCTGGTATACTAAATGCATTAAAGAGTAACTTTCAGGTTTCAATCCCATTACAGAAATCAATTCTTTATTTAATTATGTACATTATGTACAATATAGAACAAACACAATATGATGAATCAGTTTCTTTACTGCTATAGGAAAAAGTAGTACAGTGAGAGAAATCATTGTCTTTCTAACATATATAAATGGATATATATAAAGTTAAGTTACAAAAATTTTTATTCCGACTAATTTAATGTAACTTAAAATAAACAGATCATTCCTCTTTAAGTCCTCCTGGCGCGCCAACCAAAAACCATCGTGTTCTTGCTTGTGTTGCGGCTTTTCGGACTAAACGTTTTGGATCGTCAATTGGAGCTGCTAATTTTTCTAATACATCTTGTTTGTACGTGTTAATTAGAATTGTTGGATAATTACAGTAATTTGTTAAACATTCTAAAGCCGCTATCCTGACCCGCTGAAATATTTAACAATATACAAAATATAGAACAATGTATATTAAAAGTACTAAACAATTTTGTAAAATATTACCATTGTTTTATAGACAGATAACTTTAAAAATCTTGGAATAAAACATTGTGCTTTATCAGAAAAAATAACATGTTTGGTTTCCAATAGAGGTTTCAATGTTATCAATGATGAAAAGACTAATTGTTCATTATCAAGGGACAATGATTCTATCAAAGGTGGGACCAACTGAAAAAAGCATGTAATGTTGAAATAAATTGTAACAGTTATTGTTAACATGTAATCAGTACCTTAGTTAAATGCATAAATAAAAGTTCAACAGATACTTCTTCTAGTAGCTGTACTAATGCAGTTAAATAGTTTTGTCTTGATGTATTTTCGAATTCAGAATTCTTTTTAATTAAATGTTCAAATACTCGTTGTTTATAAAAAATTTTTACATTACAAAAATTTTCGTTCACTAAAGCGTCTTCGTATCTATCTGTCAAAATTTTATACTCTTGGGCTATATACTGACCTACTTGATCATCTTTAAAAATATTTATAAGCTGTAAACATAATATTAAAAAAATGTTAAGTATCACGTATAAATTATTAAAAAAAATATATATACTATGCAATTTCACATACTTCGTTCAAAAACACTTCAACATCACAGGAACCTTTTGTAATGATGGCTTTTGTTAGCCACAATTGCAAAGAAGCTGTTGCTTTTTTCATTTCGACATCAATATTTGAATTTAAATTATTATTTATTTTTGCTTTAAGATACGATAAAATATTTTGGAAATACTCATTGTTATCGTTAATTTTGTTTAATATTACAGCAATACATTTACACATTAGAAGCCTTATATTTAAATGCTTACTATTAATCGCGAGATTTTGTAACAAATCTAAATTTATTGTTAAATCGATATTTTGACGTAAAGGAATTAGAATGTTTATGATTAAAACAGCATCAGTTTCCGAAATTTGTTGGCTTAAAATTGGAACATATGTATCGACAACGTTTTGTTGTTCTTCGAGCGTAAGATTTCGTACTATCAGTCGACAGATATTTAAAATCAAATCAAATCTTTGATCCGTGGGATTGATATCAAAGGTGGTCAATTTTTCAATAATATTGCATTCATTATACAAATAATGCTGAACATTGTAGTCAATATGTTTTGTAGCAACTAGCCTGTGAAGACAGGTTAAAGCTGTAAAGCTTATCTCAGAATTAACAGCATTTGTCTGTGATACAATGCGTGGAAGAACTTCTACACCTAATTCATATGTTTTAGCAACAGCTGCTAACACTTCTAGTTCACGAATTTGTATTTCTGTTTCCTCTTCATCTGAAACATTTACAATAACATATTTACACTTGAAAATTGAACATGATACATCGTAAATTAACTCTATTAATTTACCATATTTTAACTGAAATTTTTTCTTGATTAGAGTCGATATTTCACGTGGATATAACGTAGTGAAACTTAAAAGGGATGACTGGCAAAGCTTCCTTATTTCATTGTTACCTATTTTACTCAAACTACAAATTATATCATAAAGCTGAGTGCGGTGCATTTCGTTCAAATACGCTTTTTGTATTGTTAGGCCGAACAATATTTTCGATTGTAATTCCGTGCATTGCGTCGATATTTCGTTGAAATATAATTGAGGTATATCCATCCATGCTAATTCTGGAACATCTAAAATTTTTTATTTTAAATGTCTATTTAAAGCTGTATCTTACTCCTGAAATATCTTTAAATACATATCTGAAACTATACAGAATATTTACCTTTGATATGGAATTTATTATCAGAAGCAATTTTAATGAAATTATTTAATGTTTCAATTAAAATTACTTTGTCATTCGTTGAAGTCTTGGTTGAATATTGGCCACATAATACTGGTACTATCACTTTTAACACTTGTGTACATGATTCTTTATTGACCATTGCCACACATTCCAATAATTTCACAGATGGCCTAAATAAACTTTGTTGCACAACATACAAAGATGATTTCGTATCTTTGATTATACTATCAATGAAATCTTCACAAAGCTTAGTATCACTTGATATCACTTCAATTACAGACATGACTGCTTTTAAGCTTGCATTTTTTAATTCTAAATCTCCACCTGGCATGACTTCTTTTCTCAAAGCAGGCCATAATTCTGCCAGATGTTGTTTAAGGCCTTTAACACCAAATGTTTGCACACCTTTGTGCAATAAACTTAAAGAGTCCAACTTGGCCACTCTAAGACTGGAGAATAATTTGTTAATTATAAGTGGTATACAAAATTCAGCAAATTCTGGTACAGCACAAAGGCAAGGTGCCAATTTTTCTGCCAAATCATCACGTGTTATTCCTATTGCCTCTGATCCAGACTGAAAAATGTCAAGTCAAATTATAATTCATATTCATAAATGATGGACAATTAAAATCTTGATTGGTTGATTTAATTACAGGATTGAAGTCAACTGGAAAGTAACATTCAATGACATCAAACATTTCTCCAGTTAAATGGCCTAATGAAAACTCTTTTATAAAGTGTGGAAGTATGCCAAATAATAGCATGAGATTTCTAGGATTTCTTTCTCCATCAATGGCACTAATGACTCCATAAACAAAATCTGGCCCCATGGCCTTTAAATCTTCTATTCTACTCTTCATTAATGTTACAAATATCATATATATATTACGGCGGTCTGCCACTAATTGAGATTGGCATGGAACATTGTCAAAAAGAACCCTAAATAAACGTTCAGGTGAATCCTTAGGCAAGTTGTTCATTTGAACCTGGAACAATCAATTTGTTTCATTTTTATATCTAAGTAAAATTGCAACTCACAATGTAGAACTTACAATTGTCAAAATTCCTTTTAATACTATTGGTATAATGCTGTGATGATCTTTAAGTCTATCACAATAAAATGATGTTATAAAATGCAATTCAGCTTCATTCAAAAAGTCTGTGGGTAGATGAGATAAAATAGAAGAAAGGGCAAAAATACCCTTCTCCCTTATGTTAACATCTTTTTCTGTTACAAAAGGCCCAAGTTCTTCCACAACTGTGTATAGTTTTGTATGTCCAGATTGTATTTCTAAATGAACAGAAATCATAAAAAATTGTTCTCAAAAAATATAAATTTCACAAGAGCATCCATTTTTTTATTTGTTCTAATAATCTAGAAATATGTAATTATTTTAATGATAAACAATATTATTTTTTCTCGTAATTATGGGAATAATATTCTGGTGGATTATAAACAAGTTTTCACTGTGTGTGTCCAGTTTTTGCTTCAAACATCAAGGCCAATCATCAACATGTATAGGAAGAACAATTATGGTAATTAATACACACCTAAGGCGATCTCTTGGCATGTCGTGTTCAGTGTTTCGTTCTCTTTAAAAGCGATCAGAAATCTTTCTTTAAAAACGGTACTTGTAAGTAGAGCCATCGCAAACCATGCCTTCTTGCTATGTTACTTAACCTCAGTGTATTAATAAAATATAACGCTATCGTGTTTGACTATAATTAATTTTTTCACTGTAAATTATTAAGTATAATTCGATGAGAGAGTGCTCGGCCGCAACTGTTATGTCGCGCGTCGCACGTCAATTGAATACTCGATCTACTGAAAAATTGTTTATAAAATTTGTTTTATTTAGGTTTTAAACTCTTTTACGTATATTAACATTTCAGGTTAGGTTACTAAAGATTCGATTATAGCGCCTCTAATGGTACCGATTCGTAATTTAGTGGATAAGATGGACGAAAATGGCATGTGAGGTGTTGTTAAATTTCAGTGAAATGTTTGGTTACACCAGCCACCTAGGATGGGAGGCTGCATAGGCACATCAAGGGCAAGAAACGCCTCCGTTGACGATACTACAGGAAATTCCACGAGAGTAAATTCAGGTGAAAATTAGATTGGAATTAAATGCGCAGAAATTTCAATCAACAGCAGCTAACCTTGAAGACACTCCAGCGTTTTCCTTTACCTTCGTACCTAGCATTTATTGCGTGTTATGTATCGGTATTGCATGTTATTTGTTACGCAAAAAGTTGATCATTTGTTTGAATGTAACATAACAGTTTGTAATATCAAATGATTTTTCGAAAAATATAATTGTATTTGCGATTTTTATCTTGTACAAATATTCAAATATCAAGATTGTCACTTGATTACAATTTAAAATCATTACTCTGTACTGTGCACTTTGAACGTATCTCTTCATATATCATAATTATCTCTACTTTTGTTGATTATTAAACATGTTTTTTGTATGATACCTTAAATTAATACAAAAAAAGATTAATTGTAGTTTTATAAGAACATATTTTGTTTATGTAGGAAATTCGAGGAAAAATCATCCACTATGTCATGAAGTAATTAGGTGGAAGTCAGATGTACCTTTGACAGAAGGCCAGCTAAGAAGTAAAAGAGATGAATTTTGGGATACTGCACCTGCATTTGAGGGACGTAAAGAGATATGGGATGCTCTGAGAGCTGGTGCAACTGCAGCAGAAGCTCAAGATTATCAATTGGCACAGGCTATATTAGATGGAGCTAATATTTCTGTGCCAAATGGCTTTTTAACAGAATGTTATGATGAATTGGGAGCTAGATATCAAGTCCCTATTTATTGTTTATCATATCCAATTAATATTGTAAAAGAAGACAGTGGAAGAGATTCTCCTGCTGACTGTTCAGGTAGCAAAATTAAATTCAAAAGATATTTCCAAAGAATTCAAGAACATGCTGTAGAGTGAGATTAACATTCAATATTGTTTTGCTTATTTTTAGAACCTATTGATAGTGGAGTTGAGCAGACATTGAAGCTCAGATTATCAACTACATTAGGAGAAGTTAAATTGCCTGTTTACAGTAAAGATACTATTGCTACTGCTAAAAAGAAATTACAGGTGTGTATAAAATTAGTTTTTTAACAAAAAATTAATATTTACATTAATATTTTTTTATTTTGCATTAATTCGTAATTTAATTTTTTTTTATGACAATTACACAAATAGAGTCAGGAAGGATTAGAACCATCACGCCAAAGGTGGTTCTTTGGTGGAAAGTTATTAGGTGATAAAATGCATATAGAAGAAGCAAAGATACAACCAGGCTATGTAATACAAGTAATTGTGAATCCAGAAAAATTGGATGACAGTCCAGTGAAAACAAGTTGAACTAATGTTATACACAAGATAAAAGTCACACTGAACCATCTTCTCTGATAAGCACATTCTTACATGCATTCAAAGTAAGAATACATTTTTTTTTTAATTTTATATCATGTCATTGTTAAGAGCAGGGTAGCAATTCTTGAAGTGATTTTTACAATAAAATGCACTTATAACGTAACTCTCGTAACATATATACATGTCGTAAGAATTAAACAATATTGCGTTTAAATTGTGGGTTGTGATTATTTAATTTTTGTTAATTTATACTAAACCAAAACGAAAAATACAGTGCTAACTATATGCAAGACTAAACTGTTCAAAAATTTTCATTTAATTGGTTCAAAGCTCAATACTTAGAAAAAGAAAGAGTATAAAGAAGATTGATACTGAGATAACATTTACCTCATAGCAGGAATATTGTTATACTTATTTGTTACTACCAACGAAGGTGCTGGTGCTGTAACACTTGAAAAACTAAGTATACATGTAGAAAATTACTCTATGATGCTGCTGCTTATTAAAACATGTTGCATAATTATATGATATAAGAATTAAATCATACACTTAAAAAAGGGATATAATAATAACAATAATAACAACAATAATAATAGGAGAATTACGTAAATATTGAATATAAAAATACAATGGACAATAGTGAAAAAAGGAACAAAATATATGCTGCTTGTTACAATGCATTTTTTTCTTTTTTTTCTTTCTTATAGATTCCATTTTCAAAGCTTTTAGAATTTATAATTAATAATTACAATTTTTCTAAGATCGAACGAATAGAAGCAATTATTGGTATATTTCGTCGTATAATATATAGAATGTGCAATTCTATGTCACTTTTTTTCTTTCTCTAAATTCATTAAATTTTTGTAAATGTATTATGAATGTTTTGTAAGACATAAGTTCGGATTATTTGATAAACGTACATGTTTGGCCTATTAATGGCCTACAATCTACGATTCCTTCCTATAAGTACTAATAAGATATTGTATAAGGTCTATACAGCTGAATAATGCACAGAGAAAAAAACGTAAGGCTAATATTGAATTACATGTGGTGCAGAATGTATAATTTTTATACAATTTTATCAGCACAATCACTTTCACATCTGTGTTATTTGTGCTTATGATAAAAAACAACCAACACGATAAAATCAATATGACACATTATGCGTGTGAATTTATTGACTGTACTAACACAGCAGTGATAAAGTTTGTTTTTCATATGCATTGATCATAAAATTATAATATATATATATGTATGTATGTATGTATGTATGTATGTATGTATGTAATATATATATCTATATACACATATTTACATATATATATATATAATATTGCGTGTGCGTGTATGTATAATACGTAATATATAGAATATATATGTATACAGATACATATATCGGTTCCACTATTCTCAATTTGAGTGTCAAAGCAAAAATATTTAATCTTATAAGTAACTTATTTATAAATTGGGTAATTACACACAAGTTACAATGATATATAAATGACTGGAAGCAATCGTTAAAAATATGAACATAAAAGTGTATAAAACCCTGTTCATATTAATGAAACGAAATTTCGAGTTAACTCTTGTGCATTTCTTTGATACATTTTAAAAGCAGTGCAAGTAAAAGGAGCACTTGTTTTGAAACTATAAATTTAAGAGTTTCATATATACCATTCTTGTGTTTACATATTAAGTGATTGTGTTCAAGGACTAGCACTTCTTTATACAAAGAAACAAATCTTCTTGTACAATAATCTATAATGATGCATTAACAGTATGCAATCTAGAGATATTTTCGTTTGATCCAACATGTGATTTCTTTGATAAAGCAGTAACATTGTCTAAAGTATTATTTTACACGAGCTTTAAGTTCATAAATACAGAGATGGGAATGGTAATATCGCATTTATGGAGAGACATTCGTTACCAGAAACTAAGACATAGGATTCTCAATGGAATGACAAATTCTATCAGACTGATATTAGTTTTGCAATATAGGATTTGAGTTATCTGCAATATAATAAAAGAGACTGCGTTTTAAGTTCTTTTCGATTGATATTTCGAACGATACAGGAAGATTATTTTGTGTATAGTATCAGTTAAATTATATATTTTTCACGCATGTGCATACAAAGATTTTATAATATAAATGTTTTCTTTTTTTTTTTTTTTAAGTGATATAATTTGTATTTGTGTGAGTGATAAAATACATTTTTTCCTTTAATACTCATGTCCGTGTAATATTGAGCAAAAATGTGATGCGGCACAATTTGCCATATAACAAAATGAAAATATTACGAAGTGTAAATAAAAAGCGTTACAATAACGAAAGTGCAATTCAGAACGCCTATTAAATATTGCTACTGCTTAATATTAATATTGCTATGTTGGACCAATGCATATAAGGCGTTTTAAACGAAAAATATGAAAAAAATCAAAGAATGACTGATTGGAGCTGAGGTAGAACAACTGCCAATAAAATAAAGCTGAATTCACTGTGTTGCAAATCGGAAGTTAGACGAAAATTAAAAAAGAATACACTTTTGGAATGTTAACAAAAATATTATTACAATTAGATAGCAATTATTGATTAAGCAGGGTTTACACATTTTTTAAAGTAATTGAACAAGTAATATTACTTACCAAAGCTGGTTTTTGAAATTAAGTGCCAGTACTAACATCATTAAATACTTGATATGTGCTTAAGTACAAGAAAGTACAAGTGATGTTAGTAGTTCTTTTGATTTACAGACTTTAAAGGTAATAAATCCAGTCAGGTCCATAAAGTATAATCCCAAAAATGCTACAAATACTTGTTTAATATTATCTTAAGATAGGTATTTATTTGTTCTTTTTAAACATGATATTAAAAAAAAATATATGCTGTCAAAATTATATGAAATTACTTAAAGTTTAATTGTAGTAGGTATATTACTTTAAAATAAACACATGTAAATTAATTTCTACGAATATTAATTATTATAACTTAATGCATTGTCAAATAAAGCATAATGTTGTGAAAATATTGCAGTACCTTTTTATTAATTCCGAATCTGTATAAGAAAAAAATAACAAAATTTACTATAATATCATTCATTTATTTCAAAACATATTTCAAATATTTCAATTCGTGACACAACCAAATCATTGTACTCAAAACAAGAAGACTACCAGATTGATGAGATGCAGCTAGCGATAAGGGTACATGATGCACCAACGTTGAAATTCCTAAAAGTACTTGTAAATAGCCTGCACAAAGAACAGCTACTATAGCTTTCTTTGCATTACCAGGAAGCTTATATTTACGAGAAATAAATCCAATACAAGTTATTAATGACAAAGTTGTAATACCCTGTAAAAAAATATATTTTGTAATGCTATAATTTGATTCGATGGTTGTTCTCGAAACGTACCATAATTCTATGATCAAACTGTACAGTAGTTGGGTTTTCGGTAAAATTTTTCCATCCTGGTGATACCATAAATATATCGTCCGGTATCCATTTATTAGCCATTTTCGGAAATGTGTTATAAATAAGACCTGCATCCATCCCTGCTACGAAAGCTCCGGACAAAGCGGTTAAGAAGACTAAACCTTTCGTCGAGTGAACTAACATTCTAAATCTTTTTAGTTTCGATTTTAGATTGCCAGCATTTATATCTA